TCCTGGCAGGCCTGTGGGAACGCTGCTCCCAGTGCTGGGCAAGCCTGTCGTTGGCGCAAAGGCTGTATCCTGGGCTATGTTTTCTCTGCCCGCAGAAATGGAGACCAGGCGGTCCTGTTTTGGGGCCTCCTCGGGGGCTTCTCCTTGACCCCTGTCCTCCTCGGCCTCTGTCCGGGCATCCTCCCTGAGCTCCCGGAATGACACAGACCTGTCATCAGGGAAATTATCTTCATAGTCAATATGTGCCTCAGCCTCATCTGGAAGGAGAGGGAAGGAAAACTGTGTTAGGTCCAAGTTCACAGAGCTGGTGTAGAACGCAAGAAAGGGAAATAAAAAGAATAGGGACCAAAACAGATGAAATAAAACTGTCACTCACAGATGATATGACTGTGTATGACAGATTAACCCAAAGAATCTATAATAATAAAAGTGTAATATGCTAATTAGACTGGACAGCTGAACGACCTTCCGGACAACCTGGACGAAGCCTGGGCTGTGAGGGCTGAGCCCCTTGCACGAATTTCATGCATGGAGCCTCTAGTCTACATATAAAAGCTGTTATAATTAATATGTAACTATCAAGAACACTGGGTCTATAGTCCATGTAAAATATCAATTGTATTTCTATCTACCATCAATGAACAGAAAACAAAAATGTAAAAAGATGCCACTTGCCATAGCATTAAAAAAAATCAAACACCTAAGAATAAATCTAACAAAAGATGTGCAATATTTCTAATGGCACAAAATATTGCTGAGAAAAATTAAAGAAGACAAATAAATGAAGGGATGGACCATGTTCATGTAATGGAAGGCTCAAAGCGTTATCCAGTCTGTCCAAATTGATCTATCTAGATTTAATACAATCCTAACAAATCTGAGACACTTGACAAGCTGATATTAAAATTTATGGAAATGCAAAGGGCCAAGAATCGACAAGGTATTCTTGAAAAAGAAGAGAAAAGCTGGAGGATGTACACTACAAGATTTCCAGGTTTACTATAAAACTGGAGTACTTTTTAAGACTGTGGTATTGGCCCCAAAATTATAACAGGATTACATTAACATTATGAACTTCTTGTTCATCAAAGCCACCAGGAAGGGAGTCAAAAGGCAAGCCACAGAGTTGAAGATATTTGTAATACATATAATCCTCAAAGGTTTGTATCCAGAATTTATAAAGAGTTCCTACAAATGTATAATAAATGGACAGAGAAACCTTCGCAAAGTTGGCAAGATACTTGAATTGGCACAAAAAAAGAAATCTAAATAGACATTAAATGTGTAAAGACACTCAACCTCAATCAGAATAGAGAAATGCTAATTACGGCCGTAATGAGATCCATTACATAGCACCAGAATGGCTAAAATGCAGCAGGCTGACAATGTCGAGTGTTCACATGGATGTGCAGCACCGTCAGTGGGAGTGGGAATTGGAACAATTATTATGGAAAACTGCCCAGGTATTGCTGCCGAAATTGAACATGTGTGTGCTCTGTGGCACAGCAATTCCACTACTGAATGTACACTCAACAGTGTGTGCACATGGGCACGAAAGACAGGCACCAGAATGTGCATAATAACCAAAACCCGGGAACAATTCAAACGTCCCCTTGTGTAAGGGTGGGACAAAAGTAGGCTCGCAGTTGTTTGCATGGAAACTAACACAAGAATACAAAACTCTGTTTTGCGTACTCACCACTGTAGACCTACTTTTGCCCCACCCTTTATTCACACAATGAACATGAACCAACCACCACTCCCACAAGGGCACGGATGACTCTCTCAGCCGCGATGTTGGACATAAGAAGCCAGGCACAAAAGAACACATTCTGGGTGATTCTATTTACATAAAGTTCAAAAACGGGCAAAACTACCCTATGATGTTAAAAGTCAGGAAGGTGGTATAGGAGAGAGGGGTGACGACTGAGTCTGGGCATAAGCAGGGCTTTGGGGTTACTGGCAACATTCATTCTACTTCTTGACCTGTGTGGTGGCTAACATTTCTTGTTTCTTTTCTGATAATTTATTGATCATTCCCTTGTAATGTGTATGCTATAATTAAGTGAAAAGGTGCCTTTTGATTTGCTCTTTGTAAGACTACGCTGTGAAGTATTCTGAATCCAGCTGAGTAGCCATGAACGGAGGCCCCACAGTCAGGAGGCCCAGAAAGTAAGGCCAGCGGCTCAGGAAGGCTCAGGACGCTGTGTCCTCAGGAGAGCAGCCTGCTGGGCTTTCCCCATTCTCGGTGGTCTTTTCAAGTCAAATTCTACAGGAAGACATACTTAACTATTACAACAGACACCCTCCCTGGATATTGGGATATAAGAAATATAGATGTGTCTTTGCCCCTGGTTCCTGGCATAGGGCCCCTAAAACCCTTGGAATTTCCTGAGGGATAAGGGTGATAAGAACAACTGTTATTAATAGCAAGCTTCTTCACCATGGAGAAGTTTACTAGTATGTTAATGAGGTGACTTGGTGAGTCCCTCAGTAGCTTCAGGATGGTGGAGGGCTGGTTGTCAGAGGAACCAACCATGTGATTAGAGGGTTGGAACTATCAGCTCCATTCCCTAATCTCTGGGGAGGAGGGAGGAGGGAGGAGGGAAGAGGGAGGAAGGAGGAGCTGGAGACTGAGTTCACTCCCAATGGCCGCGATTTCATCCATCATGCCTATGTAATGAAACTTCCATGGAAACCCAGAAACCACAGGGTTGGGAGAGCTCCAGGTTGGTGAATGCGTCCATGTGCCAGGAGGGTGACTCACCCCAGCTTCACAGGGACAGGAGCTCCTGTGCTCCGGATCCATCCAGACCTCTCCCTGTGCACCTCTTCCTCTGTATCCTTTCTAATAAGCTGGCCATTGTTCTGTGAGCCGTGCTAGCAAATTATGGAGCCTGAGGAGGGGGTGGTGAGAACCCGCAATTTAGAGCCAGTCAGTCAGCAATATGGGAGGCCCTGGACTTGCGGTTGATGTCTGAAGTCGGGCGGGGGGGAGGGGGGGACGGGGATTTTGTGGGACTGAGCCCTTAACCCATGGGGTTGGCACTAACTCTGGGTAGTTAATGTTAGAATTCAATTCAGTTGTAGGACACCCAGCTACTGCCGGGAGACTTGGAGAATTGGTTGTTAGTGCGAGACCCCACCCATCCCCCTCAGATGCACATTTTTGGTGTCA